CTGTCTGTCTCCAACCTCTCTCCTTCCATTCCTTCCAGTCACCCCATCTCTTTCTTACCCCTTGTTTCCGCACTTTGTGAGTGCCATCTACGCTTGCTGTCCCACTTTCAGGACCCTTGGAAGTCTGGCGTCTGTCTCCACCCCTCCTCTGTCATTGCTGGCCAAGGTCGCTGGTGACTTCCTTGTTGTTCAAATCCAAAGGACTTGTTTCAGATCTTATCTTGACCTTGAAGGCAGCGACACCGCTCACCACCCAGCCTTCCTTAAAACTTCCCCGTTAGCTTCTAGGGCCCCCGAGTCTTCTGGCTTTCCTCCCGCTCCTCCTCTCCCACTCCTCCTCTGGCTCCTTCTAGATTTTCTTGAAAGGACCACATTCTCCTCTTCCTAGAGTGATGCTCAGGCTTCCCGGGTAAGGCTGGGTGCCAAGAATGGTGCCCCACCTCCGCCCGATGCATTGCTTGAAGAAACACCTGGGAATTCGCTTTCTCATCCAAGAGCGGCACTGTTGTGTTTTGAACTCCTGCTTGTGCCTGACATGCCTTTTTGGGTATTTATAACCCCTGCTTTGAGAAGCTCTCACAACACTTGGACATCTGTTTTTTTCATTTGTCCCCTCAGAGGGCAGTATGCTTTAGGAAGGGACACTGACAAACAAAAGGGTGTTGGGAGAGGCTGCCCAGTGGCCAGAAGACTGTCCTGTGAGAACTCATAGAAAGAACTGGAAACATTTTTGCCTAACCGATAAAACCGATAAAAGATGATAGAGGGTTGATTGCAAAACTTGCAAGAGGCTGGTCTTGGTCTGGGTCTCTACCATGTGGAGGTAGAATTGCCTGAACTGTATTAGCGGCAGGGAGGTGGGTTTTGAATGGAGGTAGATGCGTTCTACCATGTCAGAATATTCCGAACCTCCATGATATCTTGGGGTTGTGAGTTCGAGCCCCATGTTGGGTGTAGAGGTTCCTTAAGAAATAAAACATTTAAAAAAAAATTCTCTGCAGACAGAAATGACAGCAGGAGGAAGGCTTGGAGTGTGCCCTGAAAGCCAGCCCAGTAGAACCCCCAAAACAGACCCAACTGGGGTGGACAGTGGGCTGGACACCCTGACTTGCCTCTTTCCGACCTGTCCTGGCCAGACTGGCTTTCCCTGACTTGTGTTTTGGTGTGATGCCACCTGCTTCTAGCATGGGTTGTCACGCAGAACCTGTCCCACAGAGCTCGCTGCTGTCATTGCCATGGGGATGTTCTTGGGGGATGTAGGCTCAGTACTTAATACTGTGTTCCCTTTATGGCTGCCCCCCACCCCCACCCCAGGAGAAATTTCCTGTCTCATCTTAGTACCGAGAATAGTTGTAATTCTCTTGAGTAATCGGTCTGTTTCCATCTCGTGGACACTGGGAATCGTGTAACTGACGTGGTTTCCTTTTCATTTGGGCCGCAGGAAAGCTGAGGGACGAATTTGACCTACCCATAGGAGGTGAATAAGGCATTCTAGGAACCATTTTATTCCCATTTCCCGTCCTCCTGGTTTTTCTTTCTTCTCTTCCCTCTCCTTTCTCTACCATACAAAACTGAGAACGTCCCAGCAAAAAGCAGTAAAAAAACACCTGTACTTTCACTATCGTCGTCATGTTTTATGCATACTTCAAAAAAAAAAAAAATGAGCTTATACTGTGCATAGTGGTTTTTTTTTGAGGGGGGCATCATGTTTTGTAATTTGCTTCCCCCCTTTTATAATATATCGTGAACGTCTTTGCGTGTAATTAAATGGTCTTCTTTGGATTATTTTATTATTTTTAAAAAATTAAAAACCGTTTTATTTATCTATTTGAATGAGAGTGAGAGAGAGCTCAGAGGGAGAGTGAGAGGGAGAAGCAGACTCCCTGCTGAGCAGAGAGCTGGCCTGGGAGGATGGGGGGGTGGAGAAGCTTGATCCCAGGACGCTGAGATCATGACCTGAGCCAAAGGCAGACACTTAACCAAGTGAACCACCCAGGCACCCCCTGAATTATTTTAAATATCTATAAAGATCTGGCAACCTAATAGTCACAATGAACACGGCTGTATCCACTTTTTGTGTGCCTGGTCTTATGAGCATTTACATATATACCTTCTTTGTGTACATTATGTAATTCATTTTGTGTGTCCACATATTATAAGCCACAGTCTTCGTATATGCTGACTCATGTGGTGCTCATAATCCGATGAGATAGATATTACTGTCCCCTTTTTACAAATGAGGAAAGCAAAGCACAGAGAGATTCGAAACTGTGCCAAGGCCACACACTCTGGGCTTTCCACCTGGTCCTCCGATCGCCCAGCCCACAAGAGTTAAACTTTTCCTCCGTCTCCTCTCACCTCACTGTCTAATTTATGCTATTTTGCCAGGTTCTAAGTAGCCTCGTAAGTCACCGAGAATCCTCTCTGCCACACGGCAGAAATAAACAGTGTAGGGAGTGGTAAATGGCACAGAGAAGGCAAAGCTAAAACCTTTCCCGAGGGCAGGGGATGAATTCGGGCTGTCTATCGTGCAAGGGAATGCGTTTATTTCCTTGGGCTGTGGTGCACACCCAAGCTGGCTTGGGTGGCCGTCTCTCAGGGAGGCTGGGGAAGGCTGTTTTCCAAGGAGACTGAGCTGGGCCAAACGAGCCCTGAGGCCCCTTCTTGGATTCTCACAGTTTAGGAGAATGCCAGTAAGACAAAAGGAGACAGTTGATGGAGCTAATAGTCAGCTCTTGGGCCAGAACCAGAACCCTGAGCTTTCAGTCTGGATTTATGACTCGATCACTCATCTAAAAGTAACAAACCAACAGGGATTGAGTTTCAAACTCCCAGCCGTGTGTATTCTTCCCCCAAAGCGCTTTGGCGGCTCTGCAGGATAGTCGAAGGATGCTGTCACTGTCCTCTGTCCTTTTGTTAAGGTGGCAGAGAGTGAGGCAAGAAGGAAAGCTTGGGTGGTCCCCAGGATGGCTGGGGAGCCTGTAATTGGGTGGGATTGCTATCCACTTGACAAGGAAGAGAGGAAGGAGCCCTCCCTGGTTTTTTTCCCGGATTTGACCCATGTTTACTAGCTGGGAGATGTTGGGCAAGCTTCTTGACCTCAGTTTCCTCATCTGCGAAATGGAGTTAATATTTACTTTGCAAAGCTGTAGTGAGGCTCGCGTGAGCTAGTGCGGGGCCGAGCACCCTTGAACATACAAGCCTGCCTCAGGGGACCTGGGGAGGGCTGAGCCGCCCCCGGCCTGAGGCCGGAAGACGCGTCTGGAAGGGGGCATGGGCCCGGGCTCCAGTCCACCACAGCATCCCTGGGATGCAGGGAGTCGCCTTCCCGGTACACAGGCCCACCGCAGGGTGACAACCGGTGTGTGTGTGGGGGGCGGGCAGGGTAGCAGCCCCTTCTCGCCCGCCCCGGTGGGCTTCAGGAAGAAGGGGTGAGCGGGCAGAGGTTACCTCCCCACCCCCTACCCCTCTTCCTCCGGATTCTCAGCTGTCTGCCCACGGGGGCACGGCCCTGCGCGCGGTGCCACCGGGGCCATCAGGCCCGGCTGGAGGAAGGCCCGACCTCGGCGCAGCAAAGAAAACAAACACAGATGTGTTCGGCCGCGACCAGGAGAGAGCACGTCTTCCCCTCCCCCGCCCCGGCCGCGCGCTCCCCCGGGGCGTGGGGCGGGCGGAAACCTGCGGGGCTGCCCGGGCGGCTCGGGGCCGGGACGAGGCTGACAGTCCCCGGCCGGCCCCCCCCTCCGTGGGGTGCTCGCCGGGCCCAGCCCCCTCTCCGGGGTTTCCCCGGGCGCTCTGCTCGCTTTCTCTTTGTCTCTGCCGCCCTTCCTCGGGCTCCCCGGTTCCCAGCCGCTCGCGCGCCCGCTCGCTCCGCGCCCCGGGCCGCTTCCCTTTAACTTTTCTTCTTTCCCGGGGTTAAAACTTCGCTCGCGAGCGGGCGGCTGCTCGCCGACGTTATTGGCCGGCGCCCCGCCCGGCGGCCCCGCCCCCCGCCCCCGCGCTCCCCTCCGCCCCCCACTCCCAGCGCGAGCGGCGGCGGCGGCGGCGGCGGCGGCGGCGGCGGCGGAGCCTTCGGGGGCGTGCGTGCGTGTGTGTGAGTGCGCGCCAGCCAGCGTGAGTGTGTGTGCGCCCCGGGCGCGGGCTGGGCGGCACTCCGACCGCGGCGGGAGCGGCGGGAGCCGGGCGGCCGCGTCGTCACTCGGGCGAGCGAGGCGGCGGCCGGGGCCGGGGCTGGGGCAGCGGCGGCCGCGCCGGGCATGGAGCTGGCAAGCCCGCGCTGAGGCGGGACGCGCCTGCTGGCCGCGAGCGAGAGGCTCTCCGGCGTCCGGCGTCCGGCGCGCGGGCTCCCGGCCCGGGCCGGGCAAACTTTTCTTTCTCTTTTGCCCTAGCCAGAGGTAAAGTCCCGATCGCGGACTCCGCGGCGGGGACGCGCTCTGGGCCGGCCCGGGCAGTGGGTGGGGGGGGGACCCCGGGCTGCGGGAGGAAGGGGCGCGGGGCGGGGCGGGCCCCCCACCCTCCGCGCTGTCCCGCGCTGTCCCGCGCTGGGGCTTGGGGCGCTAGGCGGGCTGGCCGCGGACCGGCAAGGCGGGTGCGGGCATGCCCCCCTCGGGCGGCGTGGAGGTGGCGGTGGCCGGGGAAGCCGAGCGTTCGCCCGCGGCCCCGGCTCGCTGCCCGGCCGGGAAGAACGGGCGCGGGCGGTGCGGGCTCGGGGAGGGGGTGGTGGTGGCCCTCCCGGGACTCAACTGCCCCCCCTCCCGCCGCCATCCCCCGTCCCCCGGGACTGTGGGGAGCGAGGCGAGGCGAGGCGAGGCGGGCGGGCGGCCGCGGGGTTGGTGCCGCGGAAGCCCGGCGTCCGCCGGCGCTCCCCGCTCGCCGCCCGCCGGGGGGTGGAGGGCGCGGGGCGGGCTGGCTGAGCGCAGCTCCCCTCTCTCCGCAGGCGCTTTCTGCGGCGGGCGGACCGACTCCTCAGCGCGGCGGGGCCGGGGCAAGCTGGACGCAGCATGATGCGCGCAGTGTGGGAGGCGCTGGCGGCGCTGGCGGCGGTGGCGTGCCTGGTGGGCGCGGTGCGCGGCGGGCCCGGGCTCAGCATGTTCTCCGGCCAGGCGGCGCAGCCCGACCCCTGCTCGGACGAGAACGGCCACCCGCGCCGCTGCATCCCCGACTTTGTCAACGCGGCCTTCGGCAAGGACGTGCGCGTGTCCAGCACCTGCGGCCGGCCCCCGGCGCGCTACTGCGTGGTGAGCGAGCGCGGCGAGGAGCGGCTGCGCTCCTGCCACCTCTGCAACGCGTCCGACCCCAAGAAGGCGCACCCGCCCGCCTTCCTCACAGATCTCAACAACCCGCACAACCTGACGTGCTGGCAGTCCGAGAACTACCTGCAGTTCCCGCACAACGTCACGCTCACGCTGTCGCTCGGCAAGAAGTTCGAGGTGACCTACGTGAGCCTGCAGTTCTGCTCGCCGCGACCCGAGTCCATGGCCATCTACAAGTCCATGGACTACGGGCGGACGTGGGTGCCCTTCCAGTTCTACTCCACCCAGTGCCGCAAGATGTACAACCGGCCGCACCGCGCGCCCATCACCAAGCAGAACGAGCAGGAGGCCGTCTGCACCGACTCGCACACCGACATGCGCCCGCTCTCGGGAGGCCTCATCGCCTTCAGCACGCTGGACGGGCGGCCCTCGGCGCACGACTTCGACAACTCGCCGGTGCTGCAGGACTGGGTCACGGCCACGGACATCCGCGTGGCCTTCAGCCGCCTGCACACGTTCGGTGACGAGAACGAGGACGACTCGGAGCTGGCGCGCGACTCCTACTTCTACGCCGTGTCCGACCTGCAGGTGGGCGGCCGCTGCAAGTGCAACGGCCACGCTGCCCGCTGCGTGCGCGACCGCGACGACAGCCTGGTGTGCGACTGCAGGCACAACACGGCCGGCCCGGAGTGCGACCGCTGCAAGCCGTTCCACTATGACCGGCCCTGGCAGCGCGCCACGGCCCGCGAGGCCAACGAGTGCGTGGGTGAGTGGGGGGCGCCGCGGGGACGCGGGCGGCGGGTGGTGGCGGCTGCGAGGGCCTCGCGGCCGCGGGTACCCGGGAGCGCCGGCGGCGGCCGCGCCGGAGGACCGCCTGCCGCGTGGATGCGGCGCGGACCGTGGGAGGCGCGGTCCGGGACGTCCGGGACCGGGGAGGGCTGAGAGCCGATTCACCCGCTGGCATGGCGCTGGCCTTGACGCTCGGCTTTGGGCCCCGTGCGCTCTGCGAAGCCGGGAAGCATGAGAGATGCTTCGGGGCAGAGGGTTTTGCAGAAAACTCGCTGACTGGTCTCCCGGACTCCGGACTCAAATGCAAACATGCGTTGCCTTACCCTCAGTTTGGCGGGACCCTGGGATCCACCTTCGCCTTACCCTCCCCGCCCTACCTCCCCACCCCCTTCCCAGGGCTGCAGCTGGGCGCGCAGTTGGGAACCCCGGTCGGGTTCCCGGGACGTTCCAGCTTCCCAACCACAAATCCCTTGGGAGGTGGCAAAGCAGTTTGGGACCGGTTCAGCACCCGACCAGTATCTCAGTCCAGCACGCTCTGTTTGCTTTTCATGGTTTGGGGCGGGGGTGGGGGGTGGGGGATCCCTCCCCCTTTGAACAGCGTATTTGTGTTAGCAAAAGAGTGATGTGATTTAAATTAATTACTATCTACAGATTACAAAGGAGAGTTCAGTCATTATTTTAAAATAATTGAGTCCTGCTCCAAAAAAGTGTATCAACATTTGTGTGTGTGTGTGTTGTTAGCGTCAGGGTTAGGTGAAATGGAAGAGCTTTGAATTAACCAAGGGTCCAGCTTCTGGCTTTTTAATGGGGTTTCAAGTCCTGAAAGAAGTCTGACAAAACCGGCACTGGTGAATACTGTTGGGTCAGAAATGAGGCTTAAATAAAGGAGGGGGGGGGTGTGGAGAGAGAGAGAGATCCGTTCTATTTCTGAATTGTACAACTTTGCTGCCGTAGAAACTCTCAGGCATCAGTCCCCTTCCCCCCCCCCCCCGGGGGGGGGGGGAGGGGCGACACAAAAACCTAAAAACAAAATTGGGGGGGTGGGGAGAAGGAATGCTAAAGAATTCCAGCCTGAGATGTAAAATTCCAAATCCCACGTTCTGTTTTAATGAGAAGTATTTAGTCCCTAAATGCGCCGTTCGGTGTGCATCTTTTGTGAACGTAGAGCGGTCCCGCCCTACCCTCCCCCCTGCAACCCCCAGGCAGCCCGCGCGGGTTTTCTTCAATCTCTTCCCCCGTCCGAGGCGCATTAATAAGTGTGCTGGTCCCCACAAACACACGTTTTGAGGTCTGGTTCTGATTAATTGTGTCATGTTGTTGTCGAATAGTTTGTTCCTCATGACTCTGCATGCAGACTTTTGAGCGAGCGAATGGAAAACATGTCTTGGAGATCCGGGTGGGCACTGAGGCCCAGTCAGGCGTCTGGGGCTGCACAGGGCTGTTTGCACCGGTCCCGGCTTTTGCAGACCTACTTGTTCATCCCCCTCATTTAAGGGCCTGAACGGGTTGCCAGATTGAAGTGAAGAGACTTTGCAGGTTTGCGTGGTGAGCTGGTAGTTACACCCTGACTTCGTGGTCTTTGAGAATAAAATTGCTTTGATCTGCTCCTTTCCTTTAGAAATGTTGGTTTTTCCCATCCCTTCTCTTTCCCCCTCCCTCTTTTCTTTGCTGCCTTTTGTGCATAAAAACCCTTTATTGACATTTAAAGGGCCTCCCACGGCTTTGCTATCAGTTTTAGCTCGCCTGTGCATATGAAAGATATCTTCGGGTTGTCGACAGCGGGGTCTAATTGGACGAACGCTAGTGAATACATTTGAGGTGAAAAACGGAATCTTGTGCTAACTTTGTGCTGGCCTGAGGATTCCTCTCAGCCTGGGTATTGTTCACAATCACGGCCCACCCCATCTCTCCCCGTCCCTTTGGATGTGGAGACGGAACCTGTATTTGTCGTAACAATGGTCATGCACTCGAAATAAATCCTATAGTTGAGGATTTTGTCTTTTGACCACAGCATTAACTGTGTGCACAAATTGGATTGACTGCTTTTTTTTTTACAGCCAAATTGAGCAATCAACATATTAACTAATGTAATTAGTGTTTTTTTTTGTTGTTCAAAAAGCTTAATTAGGCCTAATAAGTACATCATCTGCATGACAAATAATCGGCCAACAATATTTTCTGGTTTTTCCTGAAGTTATTTTAATTCTCAGTAGTCAAAGTATCTTTGAATCTTGCCAATTATTCAGTCATCTCATAAAAGCAAAGCCAATTCGACTAAGTTAAAGTTATTTATAGTTTCCCTTTTGAATAGATGTTCTGATATCTTGTAGCTACAGCCTCGGGAACGCCAGGTTGAAGTTCCCATAAAGTCATAATTGAAGTCTCAGTGATTTTTCCATCGTTCCGCAAAAGAGAAAGCCAGCAAAGACAATTTAGAAGTGATTTACAATTAAAGGTCGAGCTTTTTATGAAAAGGCCCTGTAGTGGAGATATGTGAATGAATTAGTATTTGACAGGTGTTCTGAGACACTACAGGGCACTGTGCTAGAAAAAAAAAAAAGCATTAATAAATCCTTCACACACTAACTTTCGCACTATCAGATATTTTCCCCCCAGCATAATCCCCTCTTGTGAATTTCACACTGTTGACATATCAAGTCAAGCAACCCAGATTATTTACAATGGAAGACAAAATCAAGAAAGATGTTTCTTAATTCCAAAAATCAGTCTTGATAAAAAAAAAATGAAGCGTTATTGCTCTGTTATTTTGTTTCTGCCTTTATAAAATAATGACACAGTGATTTATAATAGACTAAAATGGCATCCCTCCTTAGGTTACTTCCAATTATACCCACCCTCTCCCCCCCAACAAAAAAAACCTCCAAAAATTTAAAAATGACATGGCTATTATTTGACTCCACGGTTCTACCAGGGCCGAGGTACTTTCGGATCGCTAGGAAGTGCATACAGCCTATAGGTTTTCTCTGGTCAGGCTTTCTTTTTGGTGCCTTTTCAAGGTTGAGTTCTCTACGGGATAAATAGGAACTTTTCGTAAAGGCTGATTTTATTTTAAATTCAATTTTGGATTTCTTCTGGAAGAAAAAAAAACCCCGCAAAACAATATGAAAGACAAGACCGTGTATAACGTTACAGCCTTGACAGCTCTCAGCGGAATAACTAAATACTTTCTTCCGCCCATATGTATCAGCAGTGCTCCCATGCTCTCACACACATGTGCATTAATATTCTTTGCGTAAAGGAGCATCCGAGCATGGTGGGGGTGTGTGTACATTCAAGGGAAAATGCATGAACCGTTTTAAACCACCTGGGTTGCTAGGCCCTTTCTCCACTCCCCCTTCTTCTTCTTCTCCTTCTTCTTCTTCTTCATGTTTTTTTTTTTTTTTCCAAAAGAGCATCTGAAGACCATATTGTGTTTCATAAATTATTGACATCAGTTTTAATCAGTGTCCCCCTGACGTCGGAGCTGTGTTAGTATTTAGTGCCTGACGAAGCATGCTGTTTAATCTTACTGTGGGGATGTCAGCATGAACCCCTGCCTGGTTTGTGACAGGGTGAGCTTATGAAAACTCGTTCTGCGACTCGCTCTGTGGCTTTGCATTGCCCAGCTGAAACCCAAAACCCACACAAAAGACGTCTCTGCAAGATGAGTGCTGCTGTGCTGGGCCGGCCTCCTATGGTCGTGGATACCTGCAACATAATGCTGGTAATTGTTTAAACATGGCTTTGGGGGTTGGCGGGGGGGGGGGGGGGG